ACAGCAATTTCACACACTTACTAGCAAATACAATGAAGATTTAAAAGAATGGCTGTTTTTGTTTTAATTACAATTTCTAGTGCAACTCTGCAAACCTTTCAGCACCATGGATATATAATACACTAATCTCTCTGCAGTTGGAGGGGACCTAATTAGTTTTCTGAAGTTTTGAGGACTTGACTGCAATTAAGTATCTCAAATTAAATTATCTGTTTTGTTAGGAAGACATATCTTTTGTTAGCAAGACACATTTTTTTGTCTTCCCTGGAAGGCTTTTTCAGATGTAAGTGTGTGGATTTCATAACACAAAGTGGTTTGTCATTAGGTGTTTAGTTCAAGAAAATGCTAGTTCTCAATTTTGTGTCTAATTACTGTCCTTTGGCAGGTAATTATCTTAAGTTGATCTGTGTGTCCTTTCATTGTAGTTTGACGTGACAGTAATTTTCTCCTGTCTTTTTGTTTCAGTTGGTTTATGTCTTTCTATGGGTTTTGTGGGGGTTTTTATTTGGTTTTGTTTTTTAAAACCCAACAAATAAAACCTTTTAAAGCATTATGCTTTTTTCCTCCCAATTTAGGCAGCCTTTCCAATAAATACATGACTCAGGGAAAAGCCTCACAGAAGAGGACCCAGCAAGAATCATGAGGGATATTAAACACTGATCAATTGCAACACAGGCCCATCATTCACTTAAAAGAAATGTCTTTGGCTAAAGCCTATGAATTCACAGGACAGCAGCATAGACAACCTTCAGCTTAAGTTCAATGAAAATATGGGTGTTTTCCTTTAGATTGCTAGTACAAACAACTGTGGATTTTAATACAGACCCCTGCTCTTTATAATAGATTGTTTGAGCATTTTAATTGGAAGCCAAGATGTTTTGTATTTGTTTACTAGGTAATGCATTTAGAAAAGGGCAGGTACTAAAAATGAACTTTTTTTTCAGGGTTTTGTTGTTCCACCTGACCATTTTAAACTGCACTAAAACTGTGTGCTAGCCAAATAAATTATATTTTCTTCAAAAATGAATCTTTTGAAGGAGCAAATGATATTTATTAATGTTGATTGTTTACTGAATCCTTGTGTAAGTGTTTGAGATGTTTGTAGACTGCTATATTCTTTTCTATTTCTCCAGAGAACTAAAAACTAGACACTAGTCATCATATGTTAAACAATCTCTGGATAAGCAGTGCCACTGAGATTTTGTGGGGTTGTTTTCTGTTCTGTGATTTTATGGGAGTTTATTTGCTGCCGTGCTCGTGTTCAAGAAAGAAAGAGTAGGTAACAGGTCAGTCCTGTTTTGTTGCTGCTAAGAATCTTTTTCAAGGCCTTGGGGATACAGACAAAAATGCTTTAAGAAATAGAGGTATTATATTTGGCAACTGGGGAAAAATACATGTTTGTTTTCATAAAATATGAAGAGGATCCTTGTACCAGTCAAAAATTTACATTCATTAGTAGTACGAACTTGAGTTTTACTTGAAGTCCTTCCAGAGGTGGTAACGTACCATCTTATCTTGTTCAGAAGATAATTAGTTATGTGTTAAAATTGAAACCACTGTTAATTTATGAATCTGAAATAAATTTTAAAAAAAGCGAAAATCAGACTTAAGTTTCTCTTTTTTCCTGAGGTTGTAGTTTTCAATATTTCTGACATGAATGTAGAAGTAATGCTAATCTACTATAATTATCTGGATTTAGAACCATCATGTTAATTTTTTTTTCTCTATTTTTATGGAAGTTGAAAGCTAGAATTGCCAAAGGGGTCTTGGGGAACTAGCCTCCTAAGTCTTGTTTTGGTTTTCACCCATCTGAAGCCAGCTATCTATAAACTTCCAGATGTGTTCCTTTCACAAATAAATACTTACGTGTTCTTTCCTAAACACATTTTCAAGTGTATTACCTTTGTACTTTATTTAGCTTTCTGTTCAGAGTGACTTCCAATTTTGCTGGTGGGATTGAAGTGTATATACCTCTTCTGAATGAGGCGCATACTCTGTCCTTCTTAATGATATGGAGGGACACTCAGTTGTTTATTTATGCTGCCTTTTTTTATTGGAACAAAGTGCTGTCATCATATTTCTCAGTAATTTAAAATGCTTTTAATGTCTGAGTTTCCAAAGCCAGAATATGTTTTATGCTGTGAGTAGTAGCTTATCAGTGCTGAGAAATCAAGAAATACGAAGGTTTTTCAGGTTTGCAACACAGCTAACTGTCTTAAACAGGTAAGTCAGTGTCAATTAGTGTTTAACTACTAGATCACACACATCCGTTTTCCCTAATGTAATTGTTCTGGTGAGGTTTGTTTCCTAGCTATATTTAAAACTTTCTCCATCTGTTAAAATTTTACTTAAAGCTTCCAGGGCTTGAAAGAGCTGCTTAGAATGGGAGTTTTCTAGCATGGGAAGTTGTTGGCTTTTCCTTCCATACTGATAATTTATTTCTTGTTACTCATTTGAAATAGTTAGATTTTAAAACTGATTTTTGCATATATCTTTTCTGAGAGAAGGCTGTTTTTCTAGCCCATGTTCAGTCTTCCATGTGGAGATTGATTCAGCAGGCAGGGGACTAAGGACTGATGATTGGAAGCGTCCTGAGGAAAGTTGTGCCTACATGGTCAAGTGCAAGTGATGAAGGAGGTATTAGCTGCATTTGTACACAAGCTTCCCCCCTTCAAGTGTACTGACTTCAGTTTTCAGCCCAGTAGTGCATTAAACCCTGCCACGCCCCCCCTCCACTCCTAAGCTGGAGTACTTTAGTTGAGACGTACACTCAAGGTGCATGAATTATGTGTGAAAAGACACACTCTTTGTAGCTAAAGAAAATACAACTGTTTTATATACCTGCTATCTATATATTTGAAGTAGTAGTACTGTGCCTCAGTAAAGAGCATAATTACATATGTAAAAAACACATAACACATCTTACATACTACCAAGCTCTTCAGAGCTACTAAACCCGGAATCAGGGAAGTGAGGTGATGAGACCCAAATGTGTTTCTTGTGCTTGGACTTCATTAACAGGGATTTAAAGTATTAGCTAGCATATTTAAGGATGCTGGAATGTGGAAATGAAAAATGATTACCTGATTTCCTTCTGGCATAGCCATCATTCAAAGTAATGGCATGAGGCTCCCTGTACCAAGGCAATTGGGGTTTCTTCAAAGTCAAGTCGCTGCAGCCATCCGGAGTTGGGGAGTGGCAGGCAGCTCAGTTCATCCAGCAGCTTTCACTCCTCCCACGATGCCTCTGCATCCACCACTGCATGGCCATCCTCTCACTTGGCCCCAGACTGGCATGAACCCAGAGGAAAGGCAGACAGTGCATTGTCTGTGATGGATCATAGCAGTCACTGGTTCCAGGTCCTCTGCTCAGGGATGTGTCCAAACTGAATTGCTGTACACATGGGTTTTGCCTTCTGAGCCAGTGGTTCCTGTTGAATAGCCATGTGCATTGTTATTTTAAAATGTATGACAGTCAATAAATATTCACATTCTGTGCCTGTATTTTGTAGGTGGGAAACTATGCATTCATGGGTGGCCATTGTTCTCTGCTGTAGGAAAATGTTTGGGGGTAAAAAGATAACAGTATGGAAATTATAGAGGAAAACAGCATTGCTACTCCCTGGGTGGAATGTGGCCAGCATACCTGCCTTCCCACTCACTATACATGCTAAAGGTGGGTGGAGTAGAGTACAGTCTAGCCAGGCTCTTGCAGAGGCTTGAATTTAGTGGTCCTTTCTGGCTGCACAGCAGCTGAAAACCATGGGAGATAAAGGAAGATGTGCTGTTGATGAATCAGCAACTGCGGAGGAATCACTCTCCTCTAGGCTCCCTCATTATGCATTTTGAGATATCCACCCCCAATGTACAACCACTCAGCACAGGGTAAGCTAGATGACTACAGCCACTCAAGCCCCATCTAAAGATAAGAAAATAGTACAAAAGTGAATTCAGAAGGGTAGGAAGTTGGGAAAGACTCCATTGTAACTTCTGGAATCAGTTGACAGGCTCAAATTGTTATTGCCCCTGTGGGGACACTGGGGTAAGAACAGTGAATGGTAAATCACTGTCTAGAGCTGACTTCTGTTAGGGATTACAGTTTTTTAGTACATTGCTTTGAATGAATATATTGCTCTGAATATGGTTTTTGCGGTCAGCTGCTATCACCAGCAATCCTTGACCCTTAACATGTCAGAATTCTAGACTGCTTCCAAAGCAGCAGGGCAGGGATGCTGTCCCTCCTGCTTGCATCTTGTGAGACACCAGTTGGAACACTGCACCCGGCTCTGAGGCCTCCAGTTTAAGGATATAGAATTGTTCAAGTGTGTGGCCTCCTCTGCACTAAGCTGATAAAAGGACTGCAGCCACCTCCCTTATGAAGACAGGCTCAGAAGGCTGGGGCTGTTGAGCTTGAGGAAGAGAAAGTTAACTAGAGACCTCATGGCAACCTTCCTGTATCTGCAGGGGCCCTACAGGGAAGCTGGAGACTCTTCGTCAGGAACTGTAGTGATAAGACAAGGGGGAGATTTAAATGAGGTATTAGAAGAAATGAGTTACTGTGCGGCAGGTGAGGCACTGGTAAGGGGTTGCCCAGGGAAGTTCTGGATAAGGCCTTGACCGGCCTAGTCTAGTGGGAGGCGTCCCTGCCCACGGCAAAAGAGTTGGGACTAGATTATCTTTAAGCTCCATTCCAACCCTCTAACAGTCTAAATTAATAAAGACTGTTATTCCATAACATGTTAACTTGAACGTTCAACGGCGCTGACAGACTAATCAATCATTAAATGGTTTCAGGCAAAAAAACCCTCCCCTTTCCACGTGACACCAGGGCGGCTGCTTTGCCGCGGCCCCCGCCCGGGCAGCTGAAGGGCAGGGCGTCCTGGCTGTCTTTGCCGCTTATCTCGGCGCGCAGCCCCGCCGCCTGCGGCGCCCCTCCCTGCCTCCCTCCCTGCCTGCCGGAGCCGGAGCGGGACCGGGCGCCGCTCCGGGGGGTGGGGCCGCCGCCGCCCGTCCCCGCCCGTGGCGTCACAGCGTGCGGGCGGCGCTGACCGTGGCCGAGGGCGCCGGGCCATGGCCTCGTCCGTGGTGCGCGCCACGGTGCGCGCCGTCAGCAAGCGCAGGATCCAGGCGACCCGCGCCGCCCTCACGCTGGTCAGTGCCGCGGGCGGGACGCGGGGACCGCGGGACCTCGCGGGTGCGGGAGCTGCGCCACGGGCAGTGAGGCGGCCGCTGGCGACAGCGGGGCGGGCACAAGGACGGGGACGGGCCGCCCCGCAGCGCCGGGCCGGGATCGGCCGGTGTCGGTGGCCCCAGCGGGGCGGCTGCGGGCGGCTCTTCTTCCCCCTGCCGAGTTGAGAGGCGGTAGCTCCCGCTCCTCTCCAGTCCCGCTGAGGGGAGGCCCCGCCGCTCCGTCGGGAACCGCGGAGTTCCGGGGCAGCGCCGGTGCGGCCCCTGCGAGCGCGGGGCCTTGTCGCATAGGCACCCCAAAAAAAGTATTTGATTAAAATTTTTTGGAAAAGGGTAATACCTACCGAGGCTGACGCGTAGGTTCTTTCCAAGAAGGCTTTACATCCTGTTGCTAATGATAAAGTGCGTGCAGTCCGTACTAGCGGCCGCGCTGGAGAGGCCAAACTCGAAAACATGGTGTTTGGTCGTAGGTTGGACTCGGTGGTCTCAGAGGTCTTTTCCAACCTCTGATTCTGAGAGCACTGCAGAGAAAAGTAGGGTCAGTTCCCCACAGGAGCAGGGGCAGCTCAGTCGTTTGTCAGAGCAGGTAATTCCTGCTCGGTGGTGGGTCTCTAACAACAAGAGTGGTAGCGGTAATTAGAAAGGATTTGCTACTGGAAGTCTGCTTGGTGTTTGTTTTGTGTGTTTAGTTTGGCTCATGGTAGGAACTTCACATTAGTAATGCTTTTCTCAGTGTCTTAGAAACTTGTGGGAATGTAATGGAAATTTCGACGTTTGCATTTTGTTCTTGCATTTCTGTATCAATTAGATCTGCATGAATGGTGAATTTTATCTGCTGTTAAGTCCCAGGTCCCTTAAGGTTAATGGGGAGAGAGAAGTAGGCTATAAGCCCTCTATATCTAGCTGATTTTTGTCTGTAATGGATGTGTGTCAAAATTTTTACAAGAAAGAGCTACTTGATTGAATTATGATAGTGATTTTGGAGGAAAAAGTTACAAAGAAACAACATGGATCTTGACAGGCTTGAGAGGTGGACTGATACAAACTTCATAAAGTTCAGCAAAGTGAAATGCAAGGTCCTACACCTGGATTGGGGCAATCCCAGGCACACCAGCAGCTTAGGTGGAGAATGGATTGGGAGCAGCCTTATCAAGAAGGACTTGGGGGTGCTGGTGGCTGAGAGGCTGGACATGACCCAGCCATGGGCACTCCCAGCCCAGAAAGCCAAACGTGTCCTGGGCTGCATCCAGAGCAGCGTGGGCAGCAGGGGAGGGAGGGGATTCTGCCCCTCTGCTCTGCTCTGCTGAGAGCCCACCTGGAACCCTGCACCCAGCTCTGGGGCCTCCAACATAAGAAGGACATGGAGCAAGTCCACAGGAGGCCACAAAGTTGGTAAGAAGACTGCAGCCACCTCCTTTATGAAGACAGGTTGAGAAGGTTTGGGCTGTGCAGCTTGAAAAGGGGAAGGTTGTCTGTAGACATCACAGCATCCTTCCGGTATCTGCAGGAGGCCTACAGGGAAGCTGGAGAGGGACTTTTCATCAGGAACTGTAGTGATAACACAAGGGGAAGATTTAAATGAGGGATTAGGAAGAAATGAGTTACTGTAAGGAAGGTGTGACACTGGAATGGATTGCCCAGGGAAGCTCTGGATGTGTTCAAGCCCAATTTGGGCTTGAACCAACCTGGCCTACTGTCCCTGCTGTGGCAGGGATGTTGGAACTAGATTACCTTTAAGGTTTGGGCTTGAACCAACCTGGCCTATGTCCACAGCCATGTCCAACCTGGCCTACTGTCCCTGCTATGGCAGGGATGTTGGAACTAGATTACCTTTAAGGTTCTCTTCCAACCCAAGCCATTCTAACAGCCAAAACCCCCACAGTTAAGGACTAATGATTGAATTTTTGAGGTATCTGTTTGCTGGCAGTGCAGGTGAGGAGAGAAGAGGTGGTGTGCTCTGTGTCAATTAAGTTGAGGTGGCATCTGTTTTACATCAGTGTGTATCTTACAGGCATCAGCTTTAATACATGCAAGCACTCATTGCAAATACACAAATAAACAAAAAAAATCAAATGTATATGTATTCTTTTGTCTTTCAGACCCCTTCTGCTGTCCAGAAGATAAAAGAGCTTCTGAAAGACAAACCTGACCATGTAAGTGTAGACGGGGTCAGTCTGTAGTGTATGCTAAGGGATTAGCACAGCTCATGGTTGCAAAGCATTTCTGCTAACTTAGAAGTTTGAGCTGAGCACTGAGGTGTTTGTTAGAGATGTTGGCTTATTTTTTGGTGGGGAATGCATAAGCTTATTTGTATATCCAGCTTTGTTTTGTTATAAAATGAAATGCAGGAAACAACTGACTGTAATGACAATTCACTGTACAGTTACTGTTTAGATTAATAAAGTTGGAAAAACTTTAAGCTTGAGATATTTTTGAGCTACATTTTAATGAAACCCTTTTGTAGGGCATAGTAATGACTTCTGATATGGAGAGAGCTTTTCAGCTGTTATTATTTAAGTTCTTGTAGGAATTCTCATTGTGAAGTGTGCAATAGTAAAGTTATATTCATATGCTTTGGAGAATATCTTTGGAAACTTGCCAGACATTGTGTTTTTTTTAAGTAACCAATGTTTGTCCAAATGATGAGTTTGTCATCTTTTCTTCTTGAGGGAAAGACACACAGAGGCTTCTTTTATAATCATTGTAAAAACAAGCATTAGCCTTTTTTTTACAGTAAGTATTGTTCCAAGAAGAATATTTCTTTTATTAACCAAGGCCATTGTTTGCTTTGCTTCCTGCATGTCTGCAACTAACCAGACTTATTTGTTATAATGTTTTAAACCATCCTAAGGAAGCCCTGGGCCTACACTTTATATGGTCAGCTGTTTCCTGACTTTAAATGGTGTTTGCATTTTCCAACCCATTATTTGTAGCAATTATTGTAGAGAAAGGTATTTAGTCTGGAAGGATCAGATGCAGTTTGTCTTGAGGGCCATTTGATGAGAAGTGTTACATTTTGATCCATTTTTATCACAATATATGGACATATATAATAAAATTTGGCTCTTCAGTTCTGAAGCACTGGTGCGTAGAAGGTGATATACAATACTTCTTAAAGATTCTTACTCACAAATAGTTTTCTACTTTGTTAAAATGTCTCAATTTTTTCCTTGCATGGATGCTTTTCTTGATAGACTTGTTGAATGCTGTGAATGTTACAAACATTGACTAAGTTGGCTCTTAAGGCCATTTAAAACAGTACACATATACACATACTTGATTTAGGGAGGGGTTTGCTTCTTGGCAATAGAGGTAATGAAAAATTAATGTTTTTCAGAACTTTAGTTTAAAGTAATTTTCTGATGGTGTCATTACAGTTCTGTGATAATGTAGTAACTGCCCTTATTTTGGCCTCACAGCTTCATAATTATGTTACTGTCATACTACCTGAATTAGCATCTGAGTAAATTGTAATTTGAAGTTGCAAAATACCTATCCTCGAAATTTTATGTCTTTTTGAGACCTGATTCCTATAGGAGTGTCCATGGTTCATAACTTCAAAAATTTAACATGCTATAGGGCATGATCCACTCCAGCAAGGATCAGATGGGTTTTTTACCTTGGCAGTCAAATTTATTAAAGAAAAAAGAAAAAGTTACCTCTTATCTGTTACAGTAACTCACTTGTACATTTAGTCAGTGGAGAAAAATAAATGTCAGCACTTCATTGTTCTGCATACTTTTTAACTTGATCTTCTGAATAGGTTTTAAAAAGGAAGTTGGGCATGTGGTGGTGTTTTTTGTTGTTTCTTTTTCTTTAGGTAGGTGTAAAAGTAGGAGTTCGTACAAGGGGATGCAATGGACTTTCTTACACATTAGAATATACAAAATCAAAAGGAGACTCTGATGAAGAAGTAGTTCAAGATGGTGAGTTTCTGGTGCAGCAGCACAAGCTTCTGTGATGGGGGGTATGAAACCTGGTCATTTTGAGAGCAGCAATCTATGTTGTCAAAGTTTTGTATCTTGTTGGATTTACAGACTTTAAGAAGGGTATGAAATGGGTTAATGTCTGCTATACATGGGAATTGTGTACTCAAGCTGAAATTGGTTGCCATGTTCTACAGCTTATTTCCCTCAGCATCATTTTTTGTCCCCTGTCAAAAAACAGACATTCATATGCACACATAAGTAACAGATCCAGACTTCTACCAGACTTCTATTGGTAGAAAGAAAACAGTGATTGAAGTGCCCCACGTTAGGCGAGGGAAACCAAGTTGTACTGATAGTCTTTATACTTAACTTCCTCCTTTTTTATTACTGGTCAAAAGAGAATTTTAAAGTGAATGATGGTTTTGCTTTATGTAATCTCTGGTTTTCTGTTCTTTTCAAGGGGTTAGAGTGTTTATTGAAAAGAAGGCACAGCTGACACTTCTAGGAACTGAAATGGACTATGTAGAAGACAAATTGTCCAGTGAATTTGTCTTCAATAATCCAAACATCAAAGGAACGTGTGGCTGTGGAGAAAGCTTTAACATCTGAAATCTCAGGATTACTTATTTGACTTCAAGCAGCCCAAAACACTTACTATTATGACTTTCAGAAGCAAATGCATTTTCTTCAGGTTTGTAGGCTGCGTAAAGTGGGGATACTATTAAGAAAAATAAAGTTAGATATTTGAAAATATAAGCTGTGTGTTAAATTCCACCACTGATGTAGTTATGCTGTAATTTCTGATTAATTTGGATCTAAAAGGTAAGAACATAAGTGCTGCAGTAACGTCTCTGTACTTCCACTTGCCAAGGAAATAAAATTTCGCTGTTCTTTTCTTCTGTCATTTTCTTTGTCAATCCTACTCATACTTCCCGATTCAAAACCCATTCAAAAGAATACATTATGTTCTGCTTTGATTTGGGGAAAACAAACAAACCAATGAATAAGAAATCATAATCATTTCTGTGTGAGTATTTATAAAGATTTATATATACAAGCACACAGTCCTTGCTTACTTTGTACTTTTCCAATGCTTTCATCTTTTTACAAGTGCATTTTCTGGTGGTTTATTTTTCCTTAAATTCAGGGAAATAAAAATGTTGTTCATGTATTAATATAGTTCTAGGCTGTGGTAGTGCCTGTTGTAGAAATGCTTGGAAGAGGGCTAGCCTAATTTTAATTATTTTCCTTTCTTTGTTGAAAGCTTAGTCCCTGCTGTACTTGGTCATTTTCAAAGCATGAAGTATCTGGGTACAGGAGGGATAAAAAGTGATATGCAGACCTTGTTTTTCACATTTCAGTTTTTTATTTTGCCAGAATTAATTTGCAAAGGTGGTAAAACTGCTTCCACTTCTTGTCCTTCATGTTCACAGAATGTGCTGTGTTTGCACCAAAATCTATGAAAACTTCTTGAGAGACAAATCTCCGATTTCTCATTACTTCTTTTTTTCTCTAATCATGCATGCTACTAATTTTGTTAGAGTTTGAACTCTTTTTCATAACTAATTAGTAGATTTTTTTTTGCCAAAGTTTGTGTTTAACTCCTGGCTTGGATTTAACTTGATAACAGAAGAAAAATAATTTGTAATTAGAAAAAACCCTTTTTATATTACTTTCAAATTAATCTAGGCAGTAATTAAAATACTGTAGGAGGCCATTTTTTCTTTGGAATTTACTTAATCAGAATTTTGGTTTTGTAAACAAGTTTCTTTCAAGCTTACGCAATCTGCAGCAGTTCTTCACTGGTGCTGACACAGAAGTGTAAATGTCTCTCCAGACTTTCCCAAAACCTGGTATGAGAGAGGAACTGTTCCACTCTTTTATCTCCTCATTGTCCAGAGATCACATTGTACAGCTCAGGTGTTAACTTGTGCAGAAAAGAAGGTAACATGTCTGCTTGAGCAATAGATTTGAACAGCTGGTGAAAATGGTACAAATAAAAAGTAGGAGGACAGCAGGAGACTTGTAGGTGTTGAGATGGGAATGATCTGAAAGCATTAAAGCTGTGTGTTGAAAATCCAGAAGTCATCTTGATGTGGACAGTTGTATCCCACATGCCTGTCACCAGTTGCTGTAGATGTATGATTGCACCTACGTTTCGCTTCTTCCCTCTGCACCTTTTCCCAGGGCAAAGGGAAGAATAAAAATTTAAAAAATTAAAAATTACACTTCATCTGTTTTATGGAGTGCACAAGAACAGAAGGTCAGAATTACTTACAGTCTAATAGTAAATACTTGAATTTTGGTTGTATATCACCTTTTGATGTAAAGACACTATTTCCTTCAACAGTCAACTGTTGCACACAGTTACTATATATAGTGATTCAGGAATTAGTGGTAATACACTGGTGAAGTGCTTCTGTAGTGATGTAACTCACTCCTGCCAAACAAAAATAAGGAGTTCATATGATATAGTTGCATTACATCTAAAACTCCAAGCTAAGGGCATTTCTTCAGATTGCATTTCTCTGCTTCTTGCTAGAGATAAGACTTTGAATGTGGTAACACTGGTGGTTGCTAAGAGTACTGGTACTTACTCATTTAACTTGTTTTGGGGCAGAGAACAGTGGTTTGAGGTTTATTTTAGACCTGTGGCATGTATAGTAATCCTTTTTGTGTTTGTGTATGCCTTGAATGAAAGTTTGCACTTTTGTACTCCCATGAAGTAATCATCTTAAGTTGTCACCTTACTAAGACAACTAATGCACAATGTGTTAAACTTCTGCTAAAGTGCTATTTACAGTTGCATACAAACTGTATGGTTTTGTTGATTGGTCCATTATAATTTTGTGCAACAATGTATGTAGAGTCCTCAATTATAATAAATATAGCCTGTTGGTAACCATGAAATATTCCTATGTTGCATGATTTTTTAAAGAAATAAAAAAGCACTGGGGGAGAGAACAGGCTTGTGTGCTGGAGTTACAAAGTAGACACAATGTTATTGTTACCTGACTTAGTATTTCTCCAAAATATTACACATTTCCAGATATTAACAGCATTGAAATGGCATACAACAAAAAAAATCTAGTTAACTATGTACATAAGATATTTATGCATCTGAGGGAGTGTGCTGTTAATGCATAGCCTTCTATTAACATTCATGACACACTATGCTCAGGGTAAAAATTCTAGCAGACAAGATGAATATATCTTGAAGGCTTTCACATACCAAAAGTCGTTGTGGTATGTTTCAATGCAGGATAATGATTTTGATAAAAGTCACTGACATACAAGGTTTTTGAAACTGGCTAGGCGTTTCCAGGATGAGAGTCACTGTTCCACTCAGTGCTGTATCATGGCACTCATATTCTGTAGTGTACTATGTCCACATTTGGGTTTTTCTCTTGGATAGTCTTTGCACCTCTAAAGGTTCCTTTTGCTGTTAGGTGTAGATTCTGAACAATAGAAGGTGAAGTAATGAATTCTGGAAAAATGTGAGAGGTCGTTGATACAATTGCATATTCATGGTTCTACAGACAGAGAGAGAAATCCTTCATACAGTCAGGACCCTGGAAAGTCTTTCTGTTGGGAGTTCTTACAGAACTTGTGAAAAACCACTTGCTTGCTTGACCAGGTTGGTATTCCTGGTCAAGCAAGTTTTATAGCTCTTTTTGGATGGCTCAGGAAGAAGAATTTGTTTAGGAAAAATTGAGTAGCTCAATATGCAAGTCAACTGGACATGAGGTGATGGAACAAAATTAATAGGTGCTACAAAATAAAAATTATTCAGGAACTGACTTTTTCCTGCAAAAGAAACTTTTTTTTTAAACTTAATTCCTATATGCTATATATTGCTTCAATTGGTTTTGTTGAGGATTTTTGGTTGGTTTTTGGGTTTGTTTGGTTTTTTTTTTATAATTGTCATTATTATTACCCCTGTTTCTTTAAATCAGCACTTTCACTGGTGGAAAAAACTCCACCTATACCACTATTATGCTTCACACTGGCTGCCTGGCTGTTCATGACCCAAAATTTTTATGATGCTAAAATTTTACAGTTTCTTCTTACAGAAGAATTCCATAGTTGTCTGATGTGTCGAAGTGTCCACCTCTGTCTTCAACCCAAAATAACCCTCAAAAGAGAGCTTAAATTTTAAAATAAAAGCATATTTTGAAATTACTTTTTCTCATGACCCATACACCTTTTTGTCTGTGAAGTAATCTGCCAGACAGCAGTTTGGGCTGCTGTGCATGCTAGTGCCACTTTTAACACCTAAGAGATGTCCTGCTTCAATATGGTGAGGAAAATGTACATACTTAGTGCAATTCTGCATGCATTTGGGCTTGAACAGCATTTGAATAGCAAAATTTGTTTGCAATGTCTGGCATTTTTCTTAAAGAGAGGTACAGCAAGGGAAGGTTAACCACTCAATTTTAGCAGGGTCTTTACTCTCACCTTTTATGCTCCCTTTCAGTGGGCTATGCCTCAGCCTGTCTGTGCCTTAGCCAGCACCTGTGCACCCCAAGCTCCTCACAGGAGAGCCCACGGGTCCCACACGCTGTCTTTCTAGGGACAGGGTGGATTTCCAAGGGCTAGTTCATGGCAACAGATACCTACTGACACTGGGTGGCAGCAGTCCACACGTTTCAAAAGGCAAATCGCCTCTTTCCTCATGTCCGTGTTCCAAGTTTCGTATTGGATTTCCCAAGTACCAGAGTACTTCTGCCTATGCAGGTAGAAAGTATTGCCCAGCTCTGCTGTTTGTCTTTCTTGCATTCTGTTCTGTGCTTTATATCTGTTCCTGACTCCTGGCAAATGATCACAGAAATCCAAATTGCCAAACCGTTTCCAAGATGGAAAGAAAGCAGACGAGCTTTCTGACCAGCTTAACTTTTGAAGCATTGGGTATTTTCACCATTCATCCTCATTTTCACAACTTCCTACTAAGAGATAGGTTGGCATTTGGCTGACTTTGGGTTCTGGACATAAATTCAGCAGAGATATACACACTGTTACAGCTTCCTAAATCTCTCCTTCTTCTTCTTAGTGATCCGTTTTATACATAAACACAGTGTTCCAGATAAACTACATTTTTAAACTACTTTTGGGCATTTTTATTAACTAAGGTATAATGCAGAAAATTAGAGATTTTTTTTCATGGAGCAGTTGACATCTGCAGTCTATTACAAATATTTTAAGTATGAGTTGAAAGGAAATGTACTTGTCATTATTGTGGACTGTTTGGGAACATGGTTCTCTGTCTCTTCTGTGGTTTATTTTCATACTCAGCCTGCGATTATTTTTTATACTCCGTTTAGATTTTGTGGGCTTTTTCCCAAAGATGATTTGTTTGTGTTGTATGATGATCAATAGCTACCAAACTGCAACTTTTATCAAAACTTCTAGTCTTCAAAAAATTTAAGCAACAACAGAAAAATTCAGAGTCATCCAAGTAATATATTTTTACAGTTCTGCACCATCAATGTGAAGATTTTCCAATAAGCTTTTAAAGAATTGTTGTCATCCCTCACAAATACTAAAAATTGGCAGCAAAGTAGCCATGTTTTCTGAGCAGGCACATGTCTCTCTTCTATGCTATGCTGTTAGCAGTAAGATCTAACAATTGGGATGCTACAGCATGTAACAAACAGCTTGCTTTCTAATGAACCTATTATTAGCAACTGTTCACAAATAGATGCTGAAGAGCAAAATGCTGAATCAATAAGAGCAGGAACAAGAATCCCACACAGTTCCATATTTGAAGATGTCAATCAGTTCTCTAAATCAAAGTGAAAAGTATCTGTTGCTGGAGGACACAGAGAGGTTGGTCTGTGAGCCATTGCAAAAGCTTATAATTCCTTATGTGTTATTACCTGTTTTTTTGATCCAATACAAGTATTTCAGGGGGAGAGAGGGGAAAGAAATGTTGTACAAAATAAAATACTTTAGGAAAGAGAAAAGGCTCCAGTCAACATTCAAGACTTCATCCATGTCTACATTATGCAATTCTGATGGTGAGCAGTCTCTACTGATAATTATTTAGGGATGTTTCAAAGTACTACAAATCAAATTATTCAGGAACCAGAGAAGGAAAATTATAAGAAGGAAAAGTCTGAATTCCAAGAGCTAGCTAGTGGATATAGGAATTCGGACATTAGACTCTGAAACAATTTGTAAGTAGCAGAGGCATGAATATCTGGGATATGAAAAAAAGATATTTGTCAAAGCAGAAGTAGGCATTTATTTACACAAAACAAGATTTTTTCCACAAAATCATGACAAATATTAAAAAACTATACGAGCCCTACAGGCATTTGGGAGCACTTTCAGATCCATAGAGGTAGTTGATTCCTAGAAAAAAAGCTTGTTGCAAGCTTGTTTGTTGCTTCTGATGTTGAATTCAGTAGGAAACTTGTCTTGGATTTTGGTGGGATAAGGATTAACCTACACAATTTCCTCATCTTAAAATCATGACACAGTACACCTAGTCTGAAATGCATTAACAGGCTGTTTTTTATGAACCTGCTATAGCTAATGGCTTGCATATACAGTGACCATTTTATGCAAAGAGGTTACCATACCAGTGCATCTTTAGTTCTGCTTGAACAACAAAGGGAGAATCTGAGCCAAAGCAATATTTTCCATATACCTTCCCTCCTCTTCACCTTCATTACTACAAAGTACTTCAGGATTGCATATGAATTTTTCATCTATTATCCTCTTTCTGTGTGTGCATGCATGTGTAAGCAAAACACCATGTCTCTGAGTGGCCTTCCTGCACAGCTTGGGAAAAACTAAACTAATTGTTTTACCCCTTGGCTTCTCAAATTTAGCATCAAATCTTCAAGGAATTATTTGGTGGCGGCTATATATTTTCCACTGCTGCAATACATTTGGGTAGGTGAGTCATCACCTGAAGACTGCCATAGTATCCAGCATCCACTTGCTTACATCTCCCAAGGAGCTGACAACTGTTCATGCAGCTGGTTTCAGTTGGGTCTCACACTGTCTCTGCCTAGAGGTTCCTCAGAGGCCAACAGCAACAAACTCAGTACCTAGATGATAAAGAAGGCTTTAACATGGGAACAGACTAAAACAAGCTGAAACGAGATCTGTTTTTTGCTTCAAATAGCAGAGGCTACATAGGCAGTGTCAGTTCAAATCTGTCTTCTCAGACCTGCCAGCAACACACTCTTCTTGTAAGTGTGCAGTTGTCAAGTGCTGGCACCTAGCCATTGGTGTCATGACTGAGACTGGCAAGATGAGTACCAAGCAGTGATCATATATGAATTATTTTCCCTCATTACTTTATAATCAGTAAAAATCACTCTATTCACGCCAGTGAAAGCAGAAGTAGGACTGCTTTTTCTTTTTTTTTCTGCTTTGTTTTTTTTCCTTTGGTTTTATTCTTCTAAAAAATAACAATAACAATGTAGACATTTATCAAGTGTGGATATCTCACTGAAAGTGTTGGGTCCTGAGCACTGGTTTAAATTTCAACATACAGAGGTCAGTGCCTTGCTACAATGTGCACCCACTTATTCAAGAGAAAATATTGTATTATAAGTACGTATTAAAATAATGCATTTTTTTGCCAGTGTCAGAAATACCTATGTGATTTTCCACAGTCTGAGGAGATTGCAGGAGATTCAATAATTTTTTCTGTTTATCCTTCATATCCTTTTCTGCATCATGAATTTAAATGGATAATACTACAGTTCTCAGCAGAGAAAGCAAATAAAGTTGAAGTGCTGTAGGCAATTTATAAAGTTACCATTATTTTTAATTATTCTTCAGACTGTAGTAGTAGCTGGAAATTGAGTGGGAAGCATGACCTTCTCATGCTATACAAACACAGCAGAATAATATGACTTTCCCAAGTATTTTAGTGTTCCTCAATGTGGAGC